CCCAATGTCTATCACCCAGCCACCCCATACCTCCCACCCCCAACCACTCCAGTAACACTCAGTTTGTTTCCTGAGATTAAAAATTCCTCGTATCAGTGAGGTCATACGATACATGTCTTTCTCTGATTGACTTATTTCGCTCAGCATAACACCCTCCAGTCCCATCCATGTCATTGCAAATGGCAAGATCCAGCAATTGCACTACTGGGTATTTACCCCAAAGATACAAATGTAGGGATCTGAAGGGGTACGTGTACCCCAATGTTTATAGCAGCAATGTCCACAATAGCCAAGCTGTGGAAAGAGCCAAGATGTCCATTGACAGATGAATGGATAAAGAAGATGTGGTATATATATATATATAAATAGATATATATATATATATATATATACACATACATACAGTGGAATATTAAGATTATATTTATTTATTTGAGGGTGGGGAGACAGAGAGCAAGAGAGCACACAGAGGGAGAGGGAGAAGCAGGCTTCCCCCTGAGCTCAACGCAGGGTTCGATCCCAGGACCCTGGGATCATGACCTGAGCCCAAGGCAGATGCTTCACCCACTGAGCCACCCAAGTGCCCCCCCCATCAGTCCTTTTATTGCAGATCAATGTACTGATCAGTAGTTTTATTTAACATGTCAAGAAATGATAGGACATTTTCTCTTTTTAGCAATAGGTGAGATCATTGATTGGAAGAAAACAGATCTTCCACATTTAGGCCATTTCTATGTCCCTCAACTAAACAGACACATGCAAAAAGTTTTATTTTGGGTTATAATCACTAGCTACTGCCAAGAGATTAATGAGACAAATACCTGGCAATTAAATCATCTGCAATAACTAAAGTGAGTTGCAGCCTAGTTATTTTCACAAACGAAATGTCCCAATTGGGTCAACTGTGTGGCAATGTGAGCACTTTCTTACCCTACTATTGTTTAAGCAGGCCAGGAGGATAGACTTATTGTCATTTTAAGTAAAGAATGTGTTAGAATTTAAGGGGAAAAAAAGCATTCTTTGAAGTATTATATTTCTTTGCTTTTCCATCAGCTCCTCAGAACGGAGCTAACTGCAACCCCACTTAGAGACGCCTGGAATGTGGTTGGTGAAGGAACCGAAGCTGGAACAGGACAGGTGAGTCTGTGAGGAGGTACCGCCCACGGTGTCAGCCTCACCTCTGTTAAGCTGCAGAGGTGTAATGAGGTAAGCCTGAAGCTCTTAATCTGGTCTGATCTCAACATTCCCACCGCATTGATCTGATGCTTGCTAAGGAGGGGCCCTCCGACCTAGTTCAGAAGAGCAGGGACGTCTGTCTAACACGGCAGAGAGCCCCATGTCCTTGGTTCCGGCTGAGCTCACTCTGACAGTCTGCAAAGAGACTTTCCCAAAAGGAACCTTGGCTCCCACCACTGACATTTGAGGAGTTTTAAATGTCAGATAGCTAGAAAAAACCAGAAAATCACATTCGGTTCTTTCGTTTTTAGAAACGTGAAGACTTGCCCAATATTACCTGGGTAGATTGTGGCAACGCCAATACTAAAAACTCAGGTGTTTTAATGCGTTGGTTAGTATTATTACCAAATGGAAAAAAATGTAACATTTCAGTGCCCTCTTCCCCGTTCGAGGACGAAGCCATGTGAACCGTCAGAAGAAATGACATCAATCTCTGGGAATTGTCTCTTTAAAATGTCTCTCCTGGATTTGAGATTCAAAATTATTCTCAGTGATTTCATTATAAATCTGGGCAACATAATTTACTCACATTTGCTCTAATATATTCAGGTAAGATCAACTCCCACACTGGATGAATAAACTTGTGAATATTGTACAGATTTATTAAAGAAGAATTGGTGCCATTTAAACTGATTAGTTCAGAAAGAATCCCATGTTTTGGGTGGTTTGGTTTTCAGCCTTTATGAGCCATGCCTTCCTTGGATGTAAGCATAATGCAAAGAAAATACAGTTCAATTGGCTACCAAATACTTGGGTGACTTTATGAGCTCCCAACTGTCATTTTGGAAGACAGAAAGGGACATTCTAAGTCCAGCTCAAGGAGCTACATTTGAACAAACTGACGTGAGTTCAGTTCTTCCCCACTCCAGAATTTTAAACACCTTAGCAACTCTCAAGCCATGGCAAGCATCAGAAACACTATAAACAGAGATGGGGGTTCAGATGTGCCAACGAACTTGACCTCCACGTTCGTTGATAAACACTGGAAGTGTTTATCTCCAGAGATTTAACTGTAGAGGTTTCTATCACGGAACTCTGTCATCTCCTAAAATGGCTTTTCATAAAGACGGAGGATCTGAAAGACCCTGAAATCTTGAAACTAGGAAAATGGGTCTCCCCCTGATGTACATTATGTATAAATCAATTCAATATCAAAATTACATAAAAGCAACAGGACAGAAGTTAAAGAAAAGCTTTCTAAGAACAAAGTGAATAATCAACATGTAGCCTTACTCAAAGTTGTACTGTGTGTAAAAACTACACAAAAGGAAACTGTTAAAATGAACAAAACACCTCTCTCTCTCCCTATCTCTTTGTCTCTCAAATAAGGAAATAAAATCTTAAAACACACACACACACACACACACACACAAAAAAAAAAAAACAAAAAATCAAAACAGGACAAAAACACCCAAAACAGAAAACAAACAGTAACACAAGGGTAAGAAAAAAAAGCAAAATGAAAAAGCCCCTCAAGCTGGGAGAGAAGTCCTCTTTCCTGTTTGAGTTGTGAGTTGAAAGGGCTCTCGACTTAGTGTTGTACTCCCCTAATGCTGAACTGAGTTGTATTAAAACAGTTCCTTCAGGTTGTGTAAGCTGAAGCCCGGAGTCTGGTGGGGGCTGAGCCCCGGAATCTAACCAAAGTCCCAGTCAGTGCTCTGGGCAGAGTCCCTCTGCCATCAAATGACCAGAACTTCTGGGCTGACTCAGATTTGGGCCCGGCCCCTTCCTTTCTCACCAAGAGGTATCTCGAAGGACACCCCAGGCCTCCACGCAAACGGCCTTTCGGTTTACCCTTCCAGCCTGTCAGACATGCCTGAAAATATAGGATTCTCATTTTGAGACCAATCAATACCTCTCTGCTCTACTAATCAACACAGGATGCTTCTTCTTCTTCTTCTTTTTTTTTTTTAAAGAAAATAGAAATTGTTTTATGTTAGAATAAAGGTATTAAATTCTAAAATAAAGTGTAGTTAAATTTAAAAATGTAGGGTTTGGGGAAAATATTTAAAACATGATTATGGGGCACCTGAGTGACTCAGTCAGTTGGGCATCTGCCTTCGGCTCAGGTCATGATCTCAGGGTCCTGGGCTCAAGCCCCATGTCTGGCTCCCTGCTCAGCCGGGAGCCTGCTCCCTCTGCCCCTCCCCCCCAGCTCATGTGCTCACTCTGTCTCCAATAAATAAATAAAGTCTTAAAAAGAAACATGATTGCAAAATAAGACAACAGAATGTACTTAGGTGTATGTTAGGCGTAAGGAAAACTACAGGGTTTTAAAATAACAATTGCACAATACCACGGTAGCTGGGTTGAAAGAAGTTGTAGCCTAAAACGTGGGTTCATTGCTTTTTTTTTTTTAAAGATTTATTTATTTATTTGAGAGAGAGAGTGGGTGGTGAAGCAGAGGGGGAGAGAATCTCAAGCAGACTCCTCGCTGATCTTGGAGCTCTAGGCGGGTCTCGATCTCACCACCCTGAGATCATGACCTGAGCTGAACACTGAGATCATGACCTGAGCCGAAACAAGAGTTGGACACTCAGCCAACTGAGCTACCTGGGTGCCTCAATGTGGGTTAATTTCTAAAACCAAATAGTCATACCCTAAAAAAATTTTCCCTCACCTTTTTTTTTTTTTGTAATTCAAAGCAGGATCCCATTTTTAATTTTCAGAACATACGAACATTTACCTTGAACATTCACTGATGTGTTAGGTTTTCCCTTTGACAGGTAACTACTTGTTTTTCTGTTTTGTTTTGTTTTTTAAAGTTTTTATTTATTTATCTGACAGAGAGACACAGTGAGAGAGGGAACACAAGCAGGGGGAGTGGGAGAGGGAGAAGCAGGCTTCCCGCGGAGCAGGGAGCCCGATGCGGGGCTCGATCCCAGGATCCTGGGATCATGACCTGAGCCGAAGGCAGACGCTCAACGACCGAGCCACCCAGGTGCCCCGACAGGTAAACGACTTGCAAGCAGATTTTGTCTGTTCTGCCAGCACCATCCCTTCTGCTTGGATGAACACATTCTAAAGCTATGTTTTATATATGGCAACACAGAGGGTATGCAATGATAGACACTAACAATATCAACAGAAGAACCCAAGAACCCAAGTGGCTGGGATTATAAAAGTCATTTTGCTGGGGCACCTGGGTGACTCAGTCGTTAAGCGTCTGCCTTCAGCTCAGGTCGCGATCCCAGCGTCCTGGGATCAAGTCCCGCATCAGGCTCCATGCTCCGAGGGAAGCCTGCTTCTCCTTCTTCCTCTCCCCCTGCTTGTGTTCCCTCTCTCTCTCTGTCAAATAAATAATAAAAATCAATAATGCCGCTATCCCTCAGCTTTTGTCTGTCTGAAGGACGACTTTGCTGAGAAAGTATTCTGTTGGCAGCATCTTTTCTAAGCGCTTTGAATATCTCATCCCACTCTCTCTTGGGCTGCAAAGTCCCTGCTAAGACCTCCGCTGACGACATTGTGGGGGTTCCTTTATATCAGAATTGTTTTCCTCTTGCTGCTTTTAAAATTCTCTTTTTTTCTCTAATTTTAGACAGTTTTATTACAACATATCTTGGGGAAGATCATTCTGAATTGAAATTTTGGAGTGACCGCCGAGCTTCATGAACCTGGATATCCATCTCTCTCCCTGGCTTTGGGAAATTCTCCACCAGTATTTCTTTAAATAAGCATTCTGCTCCTTCCCTTCTCCTTCCCGGACTCCAGTGGCACATACACTGTTTCTATCAGTCCCGTAAGCTTTCTTCATTCCTTTTTATTCTTTTTTGTTGATGTGGTTCTTTTAGCTTTTGCTCTTCCGATTGGATAATTCCACTTGATCTGTTTGCAAGCTTACTGCTTCGTTCTTTTATTTGTTTTAAGTCTTTGTTCAAATTCTCTTCTGAATTCTTCAGTTCAGCCACTGTATTCTTTAGCCCCCAAATTTCTGTTGTTGTTTTTTTTTTATATTTTCTATGCCTTTGCTGAACTTTCCATTGTGTTCTTGTGTTGTTTTCCTGATACCATTAAATTGTTACTTGTGCTCTCTTTTAGCCCTCTGAGTATCTTTAGAAGAATTATTTTGAACTCTTTGTCAGACAATTCTTGGATCTCTATTTCTTTGGGGCCAGTTCTGGGGGTGTGCCTTATGCCTTTGCAGGAGTCATGTTTCCCTCATTCTTCATGATTACTGTAGCCTTGTACAGGTGTTTGTTCATTTGAAGATGCGTTCACCTTGTTCAGACTTTATGAGCTGATTTTGGTGACAGAAACCTTTTGCCCGTGGGCAGGAGCATGCTGCAGCATGCTGTGATATTATGTCTAATGGCGCAGGGCCCCAAGTGTGCGGATAGGTGTCAGTAGAAGCTCCAGCAGGAAGTGATGTCTTTTTGGCTCAGGCTGCTGAGGTCCATCTCATCGACAACTGTGTGGTCCTTGGTGAGGGCTGTGGGGGTGTGCGGTGGAGGCAAGGGCTGTTGGGGTCCTCAATGGGTCCAGTGGCTAGGGATCAGGTAGGCAGCAGTGGCGGCTGGAGCTGGTGTTATGCATGCACTTGGCTGTAGGCGCCAGTTGCAGGTGCCTATGTCAATTGCAGGGGCCAACTGCAGACACACACGTCGTGGTGGGGGTAGGTGGGCGCTGTGGGCTCACTGGCAGCTGTGGGGGCCTTGGCCTTCGGCGTGTGCTCCCATGACTGCAGTCTCCCCTTGGCCATGCGCATGGCGGTGGAGGTCAGTGACCGGCGTCATGCTGGTGGTGTGCAAGTACACAGCTGAGGGACTAGCCCTGAGCGTGTGCCTGGCAGTAGGGGTCAGCCGTGGGAGTCTAGTCTGGTGTCTTGCACTCATACAGCTGCAGTATCCGAGGTGCAGATGCAGCAGAGGCGGGGGGTGGGGTGGGGGTGGCAGAGGGGAGCAGGGACTCGGAAGGCTTGTATTGGGGGTTGTAAATACCTATGGAGCAAACCTGGTGAACCCTGCAGGGGTCTCTGGTGGCTCTGCTGGCCACTGCTTTGTTTGTTTCTTTCTTTCTTTTAAATTTTTATTTATTTGGAGGGGAGGAGGGAGAGAGCAGGAAGGAGCAGGGGGAGGGCAGAGGCAGAGGGAGAAGCAGGCTCCCCACGGAGCAGGGAACCCAACACGGGGCTCGATCCCAGAACCCTGGGATCGTGACCTGAGCCAAAGGCAGACGCTTCACCCACTGAGCCCCCCAGGCGCCCCTGGCCACTGGTTTCTTGAGTGGGAAAAGTTGCTGGGTTGGTCTGCAGAGCAGGTCCCTGGGAACTGTGGTGGCCCCTGCTGTGTGGCTGTGACTTGGTGGCCTGTGTTTTCTTCTTCATTCCTAGCTGTCTCTAAATGTCCCAGCTTTGCCAAATGGGTGGGGTGAAACCCAGCAGGCCTTTGATGTGGTGCCCTGAAAGGCTGGGGAAGCTCCCCACTTACCTCCTTCTTCCTTTCTCAGCGAGGGGCATTCTCTCAGCCGGGGAGCTCCCTCCTGACCCGGAGGAGCAACGCTGGCTCAGGGGCTGGAGTGATGCAGGCAAAATGAGGCTGTCTTCCTTTATCCTTGGGTGTGGTTATTCTCAGGTTATTTGTTACACTGCATTGCTGAGGTTCCTTAGGTGGACTCCAGAACTCTCCGGAAGCTGTTTTTATTTGTGGATAGTTATCTAATGGTTGATCTCTGTGGGTGGGGTTGGAGGCTGGCGTGTCCTACATTTACTGTACGTGCGACTCTCTGCAACTTTTTTATCCTTGCTGAGCCTCAGTGTCACATCCCTTGTGACCTTTTTTTTTTTTTTAGGAGAGAGAGCACAGGGGGAGGGGCCGAGGGAGAGAGAGAATCTCGAGCAGATTCCACGCCCAGCGCGGAGACCGACTCGGGGGTCGATCTCATGACCCCGATATCATGACCTGAGCCGAAATCAAGAGTCAGACACTCCACTCTCTGAGCCACCCAGGCGTCCCCCGCCTTGTGACATGTGAACAGCAATGGCACCTTCCTCCCAGCCTGCCGTGTGGGTGAAGTGGGTATGAAGAGGGAGCACCGAGCACATCTCAGCAAGTTTGCTTCGTGCAGGTCATGGAAGCTGTGATGCTGGCTTGCTGCTCCTCACCGTGGCCTCCTGCTGGCTGACTTGATGTTTAGAAGATAAACCAGTTTCTCCATCAACCGGAGAAACTAGGAATCATCCAGTGTGGAGAGCCGTGGTCATAGCCCTTGCGGACTGGTCCATGGCTGACTCCCGACCCTGTCCCTTCCTGGCCCTGTGATCTTTGTCGGGCCCCTTCACCACTCAGTGCCTCAGAAAAACTGACACCACCATGATAAATGGGAAAGTGTATACAGATGGGATAAGCACATGTGGGTGCTTAAGGCATAGAACTTTCTTTCCCTGTTCTGTTTTGGTTTTTTTCCTTCTTGAAGGATCCCATGATAAGTTTCCAGATTTATTTCTAACCCAAGATTAATTGCACCCTAGTTTGTTAGAGCTGAAATCACAGACTTCTGACATCATGGAGTTCAACGTCCTGGCTTTTATTTCAGAATTATATAATATGCAAACTGAATATTTGTGGTAAAACTTCAAAACACTATGAAGCTCATAGAATGAGGTGTACATCCTACTTTTCTTCCTGGAGTTAACGTCTTAATGCGTAACCTTCAAGATACTTTTTATATGTTTACATATACGTGTAATTATACATTCACAGACAAATGCATGTAACTTTATAGACATGAATAAATAAATTTATTTATATAAGTAGGTGTATGTTTCCATATTTCTTTATAGCTTTGAAACTTTCTGTCACGGGTGCCTAGGTGGCTCAGTGGGTTAAGGTACCCTCTCTTGGTTTCAGCTCAGGTCATGATCTCAGGGTCATGGGATCAAGCCCTGTGTGGGGCTCCACACTCAGCCCAGGCCGGAGCCTGCTTAGGATTCTCTCTCTCTCTCTCTCTGCCCCTCTCCCCACCCTTGCTTGCAGGTGCACTCTCTCTCTTTCTCTAAAAAAAAAAAAAAAAAAAAAGGGAACTTTCTGTCATATAAAGGCTTTTTCATTTCAATATTTTAAATTTGTCTCATTCGATCTCACTACTGCAAAAAAATCACATTGTACGTATCAAGATATAACAATGCACCAACCATTCTTTATTGATGGCTAACTTCCTTCTGTTTGCAATATTTATTATAAGCAATACCATACCCTCATATCTACATATTGTGTGCACATATGAGAGCATTTTTATAGGGTAGATTTAAGATGGGGAATACTAGATCAAAGGTTATGCAGTTTCTACATTTTCAGAGCTACTGCTAACTTGTCCCCAAAAGATTGACTCAGGGTAAGTTCTGCTAATAGGGCATGAGCATGATTGTTTCTCCACATCTTCCTTCATCGATTCTGCATTTCATAAATCTTTTTAATGTTGCCAATCTGATGGGATCAAGATGATATGGTAATTTTTGTTTGTGTTCTGCTGAGTTATAACGAACTTGGAAAACTTTCCTGTGCTCTGGCTCTTTGATTTTTCTTTATGAATTGCTCTTTCAAATTATCAGCCTATTTTCTCTACATTTTTAAAATGACTTGTTGGGCTTTTCATTTTTTTTATGAATATCAATTTTTAGTTTATTACATGTATTACACATATTTTCTCTTTTTCCTCTTTTAAAATTTTGGTTATGGTGCTTTTCTTTAGTTCCTTGTTCATCTTACAGGAATGTTAACATGTTACTGAGTTAAGTCTCTCGAGGCCTTTATTTTGGGTTTCTAGGTTTTCTGATTTTTTTCCAAGACAAATTTTCTTTACCCCAAGGTTACATAAATATATTTTCCAATATTTTCCCAGTGGTTTTCATTTAGAACTCTGGACCATTTGAAATTTATTTTTCAGGGCGCCTGGGTGGCTCAGTGGTTAAGTGTCTGCCTTTGGCTCAGGTCATGGTCCCAGGGTCCCGGGATCGAGCCCCACATCGGGCTCCCTGCTCCGCGGGAAGTCTGCTTCTCCCTCTGCTCCTCACCCCGCTCTTGTGCTCTCTCTCTCTCTCTCAAATAAATAAATAAAATTTAAAAAAAAGAAATTTATTTTTCAATCTGGGTGGGTATTGAATCTGGATTTTTAAAAAAAATATAAGTAGCTATTCAATTTTACAAGTATAACTGATCCTTTAGTCTTTTCCGATTCTACTGCGATGAATGACCTTTACTTTTTCACCTTCTGTTATAAGTTCCAGAAGCCCCAGAGAGCTTACATGATTTTCCTAGAGCAATGCTTCTCAACTGGTAACAATTTTGTTTCCCGGGAGCTTTGGGCAACTGTCTGGAGGCATTTTCCGGTTGTCACTGCTAGGGGAGGTGCTCCTGACATCTAGTGGTAGAGGCTGGGGATGCCGCTAACCATCCTGCAAGGCGGGAGGCAGTCTCCTGTGCACAACGTCCCCATTCAAAACATCAATAGTACTGAGGTTGTGAAATCTTGTCCTAAAGTCACCACCGTGTATGAATATAGGTCTGAGAAAAAAATTCTACTTGGAAAAGGTATATGAACATGTTTTACAATCAGTATTTAAAACTGCTGGCTTTTGGGGGCTCCTGGGTGGCTCAGTTGTTAAGCGTCTGCCTTTGGCTCAGGTCATGATCCCAGGGTCCTGGGATCAAGTCCCACATTGGGCTCTTTGCTCAGTGGGGAAACCTGCTTCTCCCTCTCCCACTCCCCCTGCTTGTGTTCCCTCTCTCTCTCTCTGTCTCAAATAAATAAATAAAAATCTTCTAAAAAATAAAATAAGATTGCTGGCTTTTTGTAACTGTTGATAAATCCTCCAAAAGGTGTTTTGCTTCCGAGCTAATAATTATCATGATTTAGAGGCTGTTTTCCAGGTGAGAAAGAATGTCACTCTTCACACTGACGTTCTCTGAGATGTTCCCTTTGCTCTACAACTGAAGTATTTTATTCTCGCCCACTCTAGATAGAACACATCGTTTGTTCCCCCCGGATGACATACGCATAGACTAATTGTGTGCTCTTTCCAAAGCACTGGCTTTGATCAGACCAGGTGGGGCTGAAGTTTTCACAGCTGACTTTACCTCCCATACTCACAGAAATCAGACAGAATCATCTGATGGCTGATGCTGATTTCAGTTTCCACCCTAGACTTGCTGAAGCAGGATCTCCGGGCTTGGGACCCAGGGATTTGTACTTTTGTCAGGTGAACCAGATGGTTCTGAGGGTGAGCTGGGTTTGGGGGTTGCTGCCGTGCTGCACCCACAGACCTCCTGCCCGCAGGGAGAGAATCACCCCTTGCTGTGGGGCAAATTCTTCCAGCGTGACTCTGACCTCAGAAGGCAATTTAATCCTGGGGGTAAAGTACAACTTGAGCTTTTAGGGTTAAAGTTTTCCCTGTGTTCACCAGCATCAAAAAATGTAGTAAAAAGATGATCCATAATAACCACGACCTCTTTGAGATTTGAAAATGTATCAGGGAAAACCACAAGAGTTGAAGAAACAAACGTGCAGGTTACTCGTTTTTATGGCTGCTAATGATCGTTTGTGATGGTATGGTTGTTCTCATCTCAAAGTGGATTTAAACATTAATTATCATAAATCTGGGTTGCATTTAACAAACAAATATAGCTAAGCCTAGAGAATAAGATCACATGGATGTGGTCTGCACAATGCTAAGAAAGTGCTGGGAGTCACCTCATGCCGCCCATGGAGGCATTTTACAAATACTCTGATAAATGGACCTTTCCACGTTTATTGAGATATTTAGCGTCCAGGGCCACTCAATCCCAGAGATAAAAGAAGTATGAGAATAGCAGCAAAGGGCTTGAACTTCCAAAATGGCTTCAATGAGAGCAAAATAATTTTCTTAAGTACACTTAGCCATTAGACAGCAACAAGAGCAAATGGTTATTTTGAAGTCTTTAGAATTTAGTGTTCCCAGTTTTTCAGCTTTTAAGGGATTCATTATATATATATATATATCATTAAAGTGGTGTCCTGGAGAGTTTGTCAAGGAAGGAAGAGAAATTTGAAGTGAACTGACAAAAATTCAGTATATGTTTGCAAGTCATGAAGGAAGATATTTGTGACGAAAGAATTTGTTAGAAAAAAAATCCAAGAGTTAGCTAAGCATAGTTCCCCGGGGGAGAGCATTGTGGCAAAAGAAAGTGAAGGCCAGGGGGCACCTGGGTGGCTCAGATGGTTAAGTGTCGGCCTTTGGCTCAGGTCATGATCCCAGGGTCCTGGGATCGAGCCCCGCATCGGGCTCCCTGCTCCGCGGGAAGCCTGCTTCTCCCTCTCCCTTGTGCTCTCTATCTCTGTCTCTCTCTCTCAAATGAATAAATAAAATCTTAAAAATAAAAAAGAAAGAAAATGAAGGGCAGAATCCAGAGCATGTCTGAGGACCTTGCTAACCCCAAGGGCTTGGTAATATTGATGTCCATCGATATCCACCTGTCATCCAGGTGATACAAAGTCTGGCTGAAGATAAGATAGTGAGGGAAAGGAGGGCATGCACATTACCCACAGGGAAAATGAGGGGACCCGAGTAGCCCTGGTCTGAGTACTGACTCACGACTCGTTCTGAAGCCACATCCAGAGTGCACGGATTCTGGGGTAGGGGGTCTGGGTTAGCG